AACGTAACGGAATACGTTACAGAATACATTTTGGGGCATGTATTCTGTATTCTGTAATGGAATACATTTTAAAAGTAACCTTCCCAACACTGGTCATGTTTCTTGCCTGCCTGATTAATGTTGTCAAGTTTGTGTCATGCCTGCGTCTTGTCATGTTTTCTTGTTTATTGTGAAAGTCCAGTTTTCATGTCTTTGTGTTTTGGTTTACATTTCCTAGTCAGCTGTTTCCTCATGTGTCTCCACTCCCCCTGATCACCTTATGTGTATGTTTAAGTCCTTTGTCTCTTACTGTTTTTTGTCAGGTTGTCTGTTATCCTCGCCACAGATTTCATAGTTCTCCCTCATTGTTTCACTGTGTTTCATAGCATTCCTACTTACTCTGTGTTCATAGTTTTTCATAGTTTTTTTCACAGAGTGTCATAGTCTTTTAGTTTACACAGTGTTCTTAGTCCCCTTAGTTTTCCCAGTTTCAGTGTGTCTCTAGTGTTGTTCTCATGCCATCAGCCACAATAAAGGCTCACTTTATTTTTGGAAACTTAGTTCTGTCTCCACCGTGTCTGCTTTTGGGTCTACCTCATCTACACACCCCGCCGTGACACAATTTACTGGTTAAGAAAATGTCCAGCAAAGTTTTTCTTGCCACCATCACCAAGTAAAAGTAAAATTTGCTTGTATAGCACAATGTATAGAACTAATGAAAGAAATGCAAAAAACAAACACAAAGTGTTTTAAAGTCATTTAAAATAAATTTTAGTAAAATGAATATAAAACTATATATTTTTGTAGTATTACCATCCCATTACTAAGCCTTAGAATGGCTTATTTCCATGTGTTATTATGCAGATGTTGCTACCCAGTTAGAGTTTTGGCTTATTAGTTATGTTAATCCTGATATTGGATACATTCATCCATTCACTTATTTAACTACATATTCTGTTTTCTGTCGCAGCAGGGCTAGAGGCCCCAGCTGAGGGGGGCCAAATGCTGGGTAGATTTGTTGCAGATTAATAGTTGAAGGGCATGATATAAAATCCGATTTTTTAAATTTGTTTCTGTTCAGTGCACTACAATTCAGTTTTTATGCACATAGAACCAAATCACAACAACAGTTGCTTCAAGACACTTTATATTTTTTAATGTAAAGATCCTGAAATGTTTAGGTTATGTAAACATACTTGAGTGAAAAACTACAGATTACTATGGATGCTAAACTTAAGTTGTAAGTGTGAATAAGATCATAAACACTGAATATACATACCTTTATGTCACTGAATAAAGTAAAATGTTCACTGTAATGTTTGCGAAGTTCAGGATCTAATTCTCTGTGACTCCACAGATACATCCGATTGGAGAGAACAAGTCCACTCTGCAGTTTTCTTTCCAAATCCTGTAATATTAGAATATAAAATGTGATTTAAATGTATGGTAGCTGATAACATGACATACAGGTTAGTGAAGAAAAGTTAGAATGCATTAAATTACCTTAATTTCTTCATCTGAAAGGATTTCTGTAACTGTAACAGCCTCCAGCATGTCACCTCTGTTTGAGACAAAAGCATTGCCCATGAGCCTTAAATTAACCTCAATCTGTAACATTGTATTTAAATCTTTATACGGGTCAGATGTTTACCTACACTTATGGTTGTCATGGTAATTTGTGGATTCTAATGATTTTTTTTAACTGTTCTGTTTCCAGGGTAAAATAATCATACAAAATAATCTTAATGATAATACTTTATTGATCCTTAAGGAAATTATGTGGGTTACAGTTGTTTCAACAAATACAAAAATTGGGTGCACTAATTAGAATTTATTTTGGTATTTTCTTTTAGCCGCACAGAATCAAAATTCTGACTTTATATTTGAGTACTGGAAAAATTAGTAGAGTTCTTAAGCCTAGTGACTTTGCTTGGAGCTCTTTACCCAGCTCTTTAGCATAGTCCAAAAAATTTAAGATGGCTAAGTTTGAGGATTTAGGGAGGCCATTCCAAAAGCTTAATATTAGACTGTTTTATGTATTCAAAAATGAGTTGTGATGTGTTTTTGGTATAAATGTCCTGCTGGAATACCCAATTGTGTCTAAGTTTCAACCTTCTAGCTAATTTGACGGAAAGTGGAAGAATTTAGAGGTTGTCCCTCTTCTTCATTAGTCAACCTACTTGTACCAGGTAACAATATACCAGGGCACCTTACAGCCCCAGAGTATGATGCTATCACCACAATGCTTGACCTTTGGCATAATGTTCTTGGTTTTTGGCTTTTTAGTCCTCCAAACACATATTTTCCTAAATAGCTCAGTGTTACGGCCCTAGCAGGGACTCCGTTTTTCTCTCATCTGACCATGAAACCTTTCTCCAAGGCGTTTGTGGGTAACTGCAAATTTCAGTCAAACAGGTGTCAATTTTGGAGGAGGGGCTTCTTTCTTGGTCAGTACCCTCTCAGTTCATGGCAATGTCAAACTCACTTCACTATGGACAGTGCCACTGGTGTTCCAGCAGTTTGCGGTTCACGTGAGGCTTCAGTCTTGATTTTTTCTGGGCTGTTCTGAACATCCTACCTATTATTTCCTTGCAGGTGACAGTTTGGGTCTTCTTCTGGTGAATAACGTTTGCTGATGGCTGAATTAATGATCCTGGAATCTGCAGTTGTTTAGAAATGGCTTCAAAAGACCTTCGCAAGTTGTGTAAATTTACAATTCTCCTTCTTATATCTTCACTTAGATTTTCTCATTATTCAGAGTATTGGTCAGTCCAATAAGTGCTGTCAAACTAATTACTTTTGGGTGATCAGAAATGAGAAGGTAATAGGCCTTAGCCTTGACAAGGTAAATAGCACCATAGAACCTTGACAACCACTTGTTTAAACACTTTAGTATATGTCTATATTTGAGCACTTATGTACAATTTTGACCCTGTGGACCAGAGAAAATCTAAAATAAAAATTGTGCACTACATTTTTTTTAAGTCATTCGAGATATTTGTGATGCAATCATTCCACCCTGGAAAAAGAATAGTTTAAAGAAATCATTACCGAACCACAAAATTACACAAAATTAAATGTTAATGTTTATGATGACCATATGTAAACTTACAACAACAGTATGACAGTAACTGACATTCAAATCAAGAGTTTCTTACACATTAGTTGTAAGGTTGCATCCGCAAACAAAACCCTTTGATTCCCAGTCTTTCGAGTCTCCCTCCACACCAGCACACTCAAAATGCAGACATTTTTTGCAGACAGTGCACAGTAGCCACATACATTGATTTCTGTGGTCATGAAAAACACTGTAGAAAATCAAAGTGAATTTTAAATTTCTACCATGTTTTTTAAAAAAGAGTAACTTTCATTCTCAAATGTTTGATACATAAAGAATGTTTAGTTGTCAGTGTTGTTATGCACACCTGGTTTTCCCAGTCACTCTCTGGAACAAGCATGCCTTTATTTGCATGGCCATGCAATGAATCCCTGAGTCTGTCTGTTCAACTCCAGCTTCTTGTACTTCCATTTCTTTCTGTCGAATCTTCAACATGTCTTCCATAGTCGGTGGGAAATCCTAAATAACAAAACCCTTAATATTATCACACGATATTTCATATACTACCAGTAAAGATTGTGTTATACTCAGATATCTATTTCTCTAACCTCAGCTTTCACAATTTTCAGCATTTGTGTAGCGTGGTGCAGACGAAGAATCCTGCACTCACTAAGGGTCAGAGCATCATCAGTGACCTTGTGATGTAGGACTTCATTTTCTGCAGCCTAGTTTGAATTAAAATGAACAATGATGACCCAACACGTGAGCAACCAATAAATCATGCAAAAGTAGCAGCTCCCAGGACAGCAAACTCACCGAACACACAAAAACACCACAATTGACGGCGTCCTCCTGCTTCCACTGTGGAGGATATTTGACTGTCCAACCTTGAAGCCCACCAGAAAACCTAAAGACGTTTCTAAAAAAAGAGAGTGGCAGCAGTTCAGCACCATCAGTATCACATTCATTTACCTGCAAACAAAAACTGTAGCACAAAATCTCCTTTTACCTGAGCAGGTCCATGTCATCATCACTGATGCTGCTGGAAGTCATCAGTGAGTCGTATATTTTAATCTGTTTGGCTTTGAAGTCAAACACCTACAAACATATATAATCTTAAACGCTCAGCAAAATATAAAAAGAGTAAATGAGGCTGAAATCTCTTTCCTAAAATGTTTTGGCTCACCCAAAGGATGAAATGGTTGCCTGTCTCTGGCGAAGAATGACCCACAATTCTGGGAAGGAATATCTTTTCTGAGTCCTGTAGCACAAACGTAACAGTTGTAGGTGCACACAGGTCATGTAGCATGTAAAAAGCAATATTGTTTTCGTAAATTTATGTTTGGGATTCTTTTTTTTTGATTTATTGTTTTTATGTTTTTAATTAGGACCTACTGGAATGCATTTGGCAACTTCATCACTGACTGCTCCAGATTCTGTCCATTCCCGGTGCCACAAAGTGAAATCAAAGGTGCCTAAAGCACCACACTATCAAATAGTACATCTCATTAAGCATTTCATAAATACTCATTGACCGATGAAAATATCATAAAGGGAACAAATGAAAATGAGTCACCTTGTTTTCTTGAGCGAGCTGCGCCACCCGATAGTTAACAGCCTGGAATGTTTAAGAAAACAAGATTTGTGGCTGGCAGATGATTTCTTAACAAACAAAGCTCTTAATTGTGGTAAAAGCACTTACATCATCTGTCAACCACGGCGATGACAATGATGACTGAAGCAACAAGTCTAGTGGGCAAACGCTGCTAATGTCTTTTATTGAGACTGGAAATCTTCGTGAAACATAAGCCAGGGCTTGAGTTTCATCACGGGATCCAGAGAGTAGCTGATTGAGTTTCTCCTTTATGCACACAGAAAGATAGCATACTAACTCTTAAGAACTTTAATAATGTTCCGTATGTCAACATCAAAGTGCAATACGCGGGTTTTTTTTACCTTCTCATCATCACTTGTAGCATATAATTGTGATATGGATGAGGATTTCACCACACTGTGTTCCTCCCCTTCTAAAAAACAAAACAAAACTGAGCAATGATCTATTGTCTAAACAACGTATTTCATGTTTTTCAAGCACTCAAACTGTTTGCTTACTACAAGGCTCGATCTCAAAAATTCATACAATGTTTCTCCCCAAACACACTAACACAAAAAACCAACACCATTGACTAAGGGAGCCGGGGAATAACCCAATAGCCTTCTCACTAGTAGATGACATCCTCTACCTTCCCAGCCAAAGACACCTATGCTTACAAAACTGTGATAATTTTATGAGTTATCATATATATCATATATCAGTCAAACCTACCAGCAGTATGAAATCCCAACATCCCATGCAGTCCAACAGACAATTGTGTGTTGCCCAAAGCCTCCATCTCAGCCTTAAATGTCCTGTTAATTTTTGCATTGTGTAGCTCAATCAACACTCTCACAGTCTGTTTGAAGTGGGATTCATTCATTTGGCACAAAGAATGCCAAATGGATTCAAGCTCTTGATTGAACTGTTTTGCTACTGCAGAGCTGACCTCTCGTCGAAGTGTTGGGCAGATGACGAGGTTTCTTAAATTATCTTCTGGATGTCTTGGATTTATTTGGTGGAATTGATCATACAGTGAATACCTGTCAGATGTCCTTGTGATTGGATGTACTGCTGTTATTCCATTTATATTTTGCTGTAACTTCACTGGTAATGGAAATCTGAGGTTCTTCACCCATTGCATTTCAACCTTTAGTTCATTTTTGGTTGCTAGTTTTAGATTATCTGTGGTTGGTGCACAAAGTCTTCCATCATGTGGCTTAAAAAACATCTGATTAGTTCGGTCATTAGTGTGGCTGGCAACCTCACCAGCCATATCAGAAATGTAACAGGTTGGAACGTGCTTAAAACTTAGCAAGCCATCTGCATGGTCCCTTGCTGACTCCATCCAGAAAAGAAAATTGATATAATAAACAACACCATGGACACAGGAGAAATGAAGTACACCACCTAAAAATATATATAAATTACAAAAAATTATATGTCAAAAGTACTTTTTTTAAAATTTGAGGATGTTCAAAGAGAAAAAAAAACTCATCACCTGTTTTTTGAAGTTTCTTGGAAAGTTTTGGGTGTAGTTCCTTGAATCCATTAATCATACCCAGTGCATTCTGGGATTCGTTTTTTTGGTTCTATAAAAAGAAAAATCCACAGTAACAATGACAAAAGTAAATGTTAAAAAAAAAAAACAATAAATAGAAATTTGATTAGTACAATACCTTCTCTAAGTCAGTGGTTTGAAGCATTATGTCTTCAATTATTTGTTCTGGTGAATGTTTGTTCTGATCAATTTTTTCTTTCAGTGCCTTTTTAATCTCAGTTTTTGGAAGGATATCCCTCAGTCTAGTGTGCTTTCCCATCCATGGTGCCATAGTAGACTGGTGAACAGATTTGCAGTATGGGTTTGCAATGGATGTTCCTATTTGGAAGACACAGTCTTTTGATTTGTACAAATATTCATAATAGAGACAGTGTTGTGCTTTATAATTCTAGACTGTCCTAAAACTATTGTTGTGTAAAGTTCTCACACTATAACAAACCTGCTATAAGGCCTTCTGCTATGAGTGATTTGTCCAGATCTGTCCATGCCTTGACGATATCCACTTCAAGATCCTTGTCAGATATGGTGTCTGGATCTGGCCTTTCAAATGATCCAACTTCGAATGAAATTAAACGCAGTTAACAAAGCAGTTTTGTCTAATTCTTCACAGAAATTTAGTAGTTTACACATTTCCAAGAGAAAAGACATTGTCCTTACGAGGTACATCAAAGCCTAGTTTCCAGTTGCCATCTGCCACAACCACAGCTGGGTGGTGTCCACACTGGTAGCAAAAGAAGTTGAAGTCAAAGTCTGATAATGACAAAAAGTGGTGGAATGCCTTCTTCACCATTTGGTGGTGGTAGTGATTGTCATTAAGTACTGACAGAGTGTCCAGCATACGTCCACTGGTTGTCTTGTTCTGCAATTAAACAACATATAGAATTGGCTTACAATGTCCATACATGTTGAGATTTTTTTTAATTTTCTCAAAATATGGATATGTTTTGTTATTGTTGTTATTTGTAATAAACTTCCTTAATGCACTTTCCAAATAGTGGTTCCACAATTCATTGTTAGTTGGCTTACCTCCAAACCTGACAGCAGGAGTTCACATAGAGGTAGTGTTAATAAGATGTGGTTGTTAAAATTGTGGAAACCAGAGGAATACTCCTGAAATCTCACAGTGTTAGCACACCGTGGGCACTCTTTCATAGCAACGGAGACACCTGATAATTAAAGAAAAGTACTTTGTAATAGGTTGAAGATAGTTGTAGGCCAAAGGCATGCACATAACACTGTTTGCATGTTTTGTTGTTGTTGTGACTTACCTTTGTGGAAATTGCTAAGACCATATATCACAGCTTGGTTGGTGATAATTTCTGGGGCGTTAAGCTGAGGAGGGGTGGGCCCTGGACAGTAGGGACAGGTGTTTTCCCAAGGAACAAAAGATGGCGGTGGCTTTTTCTCTTGAGTGCCTAACTTCAGGTCCTTCGGACGTGGAATACGCTTTTTGGTGTAAATATATTCTGTCATTCTACATATTTTTGCTGTGGATATATTTTTTGATGTCTCACTAATAATGCTGTTCTCTGATGTCTCCTGGAAAATCCACCACATTCCCATCATTACGTGGATACATTGCTGAGATTGTTCTGTTCCCTGACACTGACAATTCCATTTTCTAGTTACTGAATCAAATGTCACCCTTGTCCTCTGGAACTGACACCAGTGGTCAGTTTCATTTGTAAAAACTGAGAAAAAATACCACTGTTGTGAGGGCCCCTGATCTTCATAACATACAGGAAATACGCTATCAACACCACATTGTTTGGCAGCACTGACAAGCGCCTCACATTTTGCGCCCCACTCAGATGACATTAGCCCTCTGCTCAACATGTCCTGAAGTGATTTTGATGTAAGGACTGCTGGCTTAACATATGGTTTTGCATTTTTTGTTCTTTCTAAATGAACACATTCTTTTCCCGGATTTCCCGAAAATCGAGCCATCTGCATGAACCTGCGACATTTCTCAACCTCACAGTCTATTTGTGGTGGATTAGCAGACTTCATGACGTGAATTGGAAAGGCTGGACTGTGTTGTGTTTCTGTGTGCTCTGGTGTGACATAAATGCCATTTATAACATCAATACATATCATCGGTGCAGAGTCCAGGTGATGTACTTCTCTGATGGGTCTTTTTATGTGTGGCTGTTTACTTATCATAGCTGTGCAGGGGGTGCATAAAAATTGTTCGGGCTTTGAATCTGAGTCCTCTGGGGAATTATCGCTAATGTTTTCAGCCTTTCTTTTTAAAGAGCTTGGGGTTTCTATGCAAAAAACAAAACAAAAAAACAGCTGTTAATCACATCATTCTAAAATCTAATAAAGATGCTTTTGTTTCATTCTGAAAATAAATTTTTGCCATGAACTGATGTTGCTTTTCTCAAAGTATAGACACAAGAGTGGGTTCAAAGATGGGAAACAACTATGACAGTGAGGTAATTGCATCACTGTTATCTATCTATCTGTATATCAAAGTATAACAGTATAATCATAAAATACTTCAGCCTAGTGTTAAATTACCTTGTTTTTTGCTTGATTTGATACCTGCAGAATAAAGAAATATAAGGCACAAAGTATGTTATATATTGGTATAATAATAAGGATGTCTTTTCGTTTAAATGTAACTTTAAAGACCTCTATAAAAAAGAACATGTCTTAATGATGTCGTGCATCTTCACTAAAAAACTACAGCTATTCCCCCCTTCTTGGTAGTTATATGCTGAGAAGATCTGTGGATATTTGTGGATGCCATAGCAGAACTCTTACCATGTCTGTCTTTTAAATGTTTTGAGAAGATAGAAGATCGTGTTAAAATTGCAAAGTTACACAACGGACAATGATAATGGCTTCTCTTTGCTCCTTTGACATCCTTGCAATAGCAGGCCACCACAAATTTCTCTGAAAAACAAGCGAGTAAATGCATTTCAGTGCATGAAATGGTTAATAAAAACCATTTTTGGACTGATATGGACTAGGCAATATGTTAGGAATGAAAGGCTGGTACAACATTTTAATGGCAATGAATATAATCAACCAAGGGCTCTACTCTGATACATATTTCTTTGATTATTATGGCCAACGCACATAAACTAATACACATAATTTACCACACACAGCATGACAAACATCCGAATTGGCCAAAACATTTTTTTTCTGGAGACACACACACACACACACTAGACTAGACTTCTAAAAGGGAACTGCAAATAATACGAGCAGAATGAGACTACTTGGGTTTATCCACGTGGGGCAGACCTACAAATATTAAACTAGACTAAACACACATCATTGCACTCTGTAACTTTTTATACATCACAATTCATATTTACAGAGCTGTGCACCTATAATTCCTGGCATATGATTTAGAAACAGCACTGTTAATACTCGTGTCCCTTTTTTCTTAAGAGAAGACTAAAAAGGAACACAAGCAGATTACTAACAGCAAACAAATTAAGCCAAATAAACAAATATGCCTCGAGATAATCAGGGGAATTATAAACTGATTTAAATAACGACAAACTAATAACCAAGTTTGTTTCCACTTTGTTTACACATACATCTAGTCCTTACCTTGTTTTTTTTCCAAAAAATAAATTCCATCTTTGAGATGCTTTTTGTGAAGGTGATCCTTATTTGCACGTTCTTTCTTTTGACAAAACACACATTTATCACCAGCAAGGGCCATCAGTGATGCAACATCACTGAATACCTGATGTGCACCTGTGAAGAACAGAAACGACAAAATTAATACAGAAAGTAAACGCTCTGAAACATTTTAGGTTTTCAAATACCTGAATTTTTGAAAAATCTGGTATTGAATTTTTTTTTTTTTTCAGGTTTGATGCAAATGACTCAATATTGCACTTTAAAAATGTGAATTTGTGTTCTGTGTGAATTATTATGTGTTGAGCTTCTCACCTTCCTTTTTGGCCATGTTTTTAGAAGATGCAAACACACCCAGGAATCAAGAGAAGAGCCTGGAGACACATTAAACTAATTTAGAGAACAATGTTAGACAATTGGACTTAAAAATAAAAAGCTTGGTGTAGAAGTAGATCAGCAGAAAATGCACCACTTATTCTATGTATACTCAGTGTTTGTGTATTTGGTTACATTCAAATTTCAGTATAAAATTCTGAACTGGCTAAAGCAATTGTATTTGTAACTTTAGAAAAACAAAGGTACGTATGACAAAGGTGCATGTTTTAGGACATCTTCAAAATTAACCTTTAATGTTTTCTAATGTTTTTCTAACTGGGTCAGTATTTAAGGCACTTACCGTTGTTCTGAAGAGATCGCATAAAACACAAGCACTCTTCTAAGCATCAGGATGAAAAAAAATTGTCCACTAAAGTTTAAATTACTGCAGCTGTTTCCCTTTTTTTTAAATAAATAAATAAAAGATGGCAGTCTCTTTGAGAACCACTCAGCTGGGACAGGTACACTCAGCTGTTTTGCTATAGAATACCTGTCCAAACCTGCCAACAGTTTAAGCACCGTTCAAGCAACCACTGGGTGTGTCTATAAGGAGTGGCAACCTCTTTCATAACAATACACACACATTGATTTTGAACCAGGAAGATGTTTATTAAACAAAGAACAAAATTCTTCCTCTCTGACTGTGGGTTGTAGATGAAGCTTCTCTTTCACTTTATTTCTGTGCCTGTATTTTTTATGTATTTATTTATTGTCCACGGACCAGCAGATGGAGCAGAAGCGAGTAGGTACTAAAGGAAAAGGACTCAACGCTCTGTTTGTGATCTATTGTACTGCTATGTCAACACATTGTGGCTTTGTGTTTTGTATGTATGGCATATGTGACATTGAGACCGGGGTGTCACATTACCCTTTACATTACCTGTCAGATTTTCAATGTGGTTTCATAACATGTGTTTTAAAAACTAACTTAAGATATGCTAATTATTTAAATATTTATATATTATTTAATTATTTCTTTGCACATTTATAAAACTAAAGAAGATCTTATTTCTTGGAAGTTGTGTTTATAATTTGCTCTCCTTCCACTAAATGGGAATGTAACATTTGCCTCTCAATAGTACTCCATAAAGCTCCGTAGCGTTTTTGTTTTTTTCTGTGTTTTAACCTTTTCCAGGCAGACGTTGCAGATTTGCAACAGTTAAAAACTAACAACCTGATTACCCCACATACATATTTTATGAGTTTCTTTTACTCACAAGTACCACTGCGTAGGACCAAATTAAGTTTTTTTTAGCAACAAAAAACTTAA